CTGTAAGATCACCTGTCATTTAATGAGTAAACATCTCACTACATGCTTCATGGTCATCTGTAAGATCACCTGTCATTTAATGAGTAAACATCTCACTACATGCTGTATGATCATCTGTAAGATCACCTGTCATTTAATGAGTAAACATCTCACTACATGCTGTATGATCATCTGTAAGATCACCTGTCATTTAATGAGTAAACATCTCACTACATGCTGTATGATCATCTGTAAGATCACCTGTCATTTAATGAGTAAACATCTCACTACATGCTGTATGATCATCTGTAAGATCACCTGTCATTTAATGAGTAAACATCTCACTACATGCTGTATCATCATCTGTAAGATCACCTGTCATTTAATGAGTAAACATCTCACTACATGCTGTATGATCATCTGTAAGATCACCTGTCATTTAATGAGTAAACATCTCACTACATGCTGTATGATCATCTGTAAGATCACCTGTCATTTAATGAGTAAACATCTCACTACATGCTGTATGATCATCTGTAAGATCACCTGTCATTTAATGAGTAAACATCTCACTACATGCTGTATGATCATCTGTAAGATCACCTGTCATTTAATGAGTAAACATCTCACTACATGCTGTATGATCATCTGTAAGATCACCTGTCATTTAATGAGTAAACATCTCACTACATGCTGTATGGTCATCTGTAAGATCACCTGTCATTTAATGAGTAAACATCTCACTACATGCTGTATGGTCATCTGTAAGATCACCTGTCATTTAATGAGTAAACATCTCACTACATGCTGTATGGTCATCTGTAAGATCACCTGTCATTTAATGAGTAAACATCTCACTACATGCTGTATGATCATCTGTAAGATCACCTGTCATTTAATGAGTAAACATCTCACTACATGCTGTATGATCATCTGTAAGATCACCTGTCATTTAATGAGTAAACATCTCACTACATGCTGTATGGTCATCTGTAAGATCACCTGTCATTTAATGAGTAAACATCTCACTACATGCTGTATGATCATCTGTAAGATCACCTGTCATTTAATGAGTAAACATCTCACTACATGCTGTATGATCATCTGTAAGATCACCTGTCATTTAATGAGTAAACATCTCACTACATGCTGTCATGGTCATCTGTAAGATCACCTGTCATTTAATGAGTAAACATCTCACTACATGCTGTATGGTCATCTGTAAGATCACCTGTCATTTAATGAGTAAACATCTCACTACATGCTGTATGATCATCTGTAAGATCACCTGTCATTTAATGAGTAAACATCTCACTACATGCTGTATGATCATCTGTAAGATCACCTGTCATTTAATGAGTAAACATCTCACTACATGCTGTATGATCATCTGTAAGATCACCTGTCATTTAATGAGTAAACATCTCACTACATGCTGTATGATCATCTGTAAGATCACCTGTCATTTAATGAGTAAACATCTCACTACATGCTGTATGGTCATCTGTAAGATCACCTGTCATTTAATGAGTAAACATCTCACTACATGCTGTATGATCATCTGTAAGATCACCTGTCATTTAATGAGTAAACATCTCACTACATGCTGTATGATCATCTGTAAGATCACCTGTCATTTAATGAGTAAACATCTCACTACATGCTGTATGATCATCTGTAAGATCACCTGTCATTTAATGAGTAAACATCTCACTACATGCTGTATGGTCATCTGTAAGATCACCTGTCATTTAATGAGTAAACATCTCACTACATGCTGTATGATCATCTGTAAGATCACCTGTCATTTAATGAGTAAACATCTCACTACATGCTGTATGATCATCTGTAAGATCACCTGTCATTTAATGAGTAAACATCTCACTACATGCTGTATGATCATCTGTAAGATCACCTGTCATTTAATGAGTAAACATCTCACTACATGCTGTATGATCATCTGTAAGATCACCTGTCATTTAATGAGTAAACATCTCACTACATGCTGTATGGTCATCTGTAAGATCACCTGTCATTTAATGAGTAAACATCTCACTACATGCTGTATGATCATCTGTAAGATCACCTGTCATTTAATGAGTAAACATCTCACTACATGCTGTATGATCATCTGTAAGATCACCTGTCATTTAATGAGTAAACATCTCACTACATGCTGAATTATGGTCATCTGTAAGATCACCTGTCATTTAATGAGTAAACATCTCACTACATGCTGTATGATCATCTGTAAGATCACCTGTCATTTAATGAGTAAACATCTCACTACATGCTGTATGGTCATCTGTAAGATCACCTGTCATTTAATGAGTAAACATCTCACTACATGCTTTATGGTCATATGTAAGATCAGCCGTCTGTAATGATTAAATCAGTGTATGATATATTTTGAAAAGTCTCTGAGCAGGAGGGCTTGTCAGTGTACACTGTTTAGGGTAACAACAACGAAGCTGATTGGATGCTACAGGTAAGGCCAGAAATGCTTGGAAAATGCTTTTTGGCAATTATTTGATAATGGTTGATATTTCAGATTCAAAACTCATATATAATCATTCATATCACCTCGACCTAATATGGCATATGAGTAATCACGATGTACCATTCCCTAATCCTAACGATTAATAGCATTACTCGTAAAATATCGAAAACTTAGAAAAATGTCCATGGTAGAAACACTTCTAAGAAACAAACTATAATGTGACCCATCTTGCAGGAAGACAGGGTGACAGCGTTCTGTAGAGCCTTTTCCAAGCATTTCTGGCCTTACTTTAGTACAGTCTCAGACAACGTTACACTTGTATTTTAATGGTTCCTTACCTCTTTTGCGTACCCCTATTAACATATTTATATAACAATCTTCGTGACAAGATACAATATATATCACGAAACTTTTGCGGACGGACTTTTAACACATTAATTACTGACTTCATTATATTCATGTGCATTAAATACAGAACAAATTATCGGAGATTTTCAGCAATTCAGGATAGCTTTAAGAATATACTACTAGCCTGATTCACAATCAGCTAGCATTAGGCAACCCAGGCGCGTAGCAAGCCAATAGGTTGCAAAGCTTTATATTTAAATATACTGAGAGAAAATAATAAAGGTTCACAGGAAAATTCAAGCGTTCCTTTATTATTTTCCAGTTTCCAAAATTTTAAAAGTACCCTTGCATTTTCCTGTGATCCTTGATTTGTTTCTCTCAGTATAGTATTGAGGGCTTGTCCAACCATGTTAGCAACAATCATGTGTAATCCCGGGCTTTTTATTTAATAATGGTAGCTACGCCCCTGCTATTTTGAATGTCTCGCTACATGTTGTATGATCATATGTAAGATCACCCATCACCTGATCATCAAACCATTTGTTAATGTCACATGAATGTGAGAAAAATGTCAGAGTCGAGTTGTGTAGAGAAATAAAGTAAGATCTCTACTCCATCTGTATTGATTCTATAACTCTACGGACACCAATGCATATTAATGTTTGAAACTTTTACAAGGACTTAGCTATTTGTCCGGACTCTTGTCTGGGTCAGCATGTTGATGGTAGGACTGCACGGTATTACCAAGTATATCACAATATGGTTTTCAAACATATTGCAATATTTTTCTGAGAAAGGTGAGGTGAGGTGCAACTGGGTTTAACGTCGTGCTTGAGAATATTTCACTCATATGACGAAGTGCATGCATGTGTATGTGCATGTGCGGCTGCTTGTACTAGCCCAGACTTAAGCTGGTTTTATAGTGCCAGCCCACTGAGATACCATGCCGCAGTGAACCATCAATACCCCACTCAGACACATTATACTGACTCCGAGCCGACCAGTCCTTGTTGTACCCATTAATGCAGAGGGCCAGGCAGGGACCAACAAGTACCATATTTTAACGTCTTTTGGTATGATGCGATCGTGGATCGAACCCGCGACCTTCCGCTCTCCGGGTTGACACTCTAATCACTACACCATGGAGGCGGTCTTTCTGAGAAGGGGCAGAATGGATAAAAAATAAACTAAAATCATTAAGTTTTCTAATTATTTTTATTGTGCAAATTAAAATCTACACAGACTCACATTCAAAACTGACCTGTGAAGATGTGGGTTAGAATTTGTCTTCAACCGGTGTACGGAACTTTGCCCACAGGAACACTGCCTACCACAAATTTTACAGGGGAGGACCTTTGCCAACAATAGTAATATATTGCCCTCATTAATAATACAACATTATATAAAATAAGCGTGTATTATTTTATTCAACTACACAGAAGCAGCATATAATATAGCACATTGATAGAGTAAAAATGGATAGCACTTTAACAGATTTAATCTAATATTAACCATTTAGTCTATTGGTCTTTTGAACTGATTCAACTGCCACCCAAACGGATGGGTGATCATGACCAATCATTTCATGAAAGCCATGGTTCCATGCCTCACATCTGTTGTTGAAACAATGGTGATCTTCAACAGTGACTGTATGAACATTCCAAAGTTCTGGTGGAAACATGGGTGCTACTCTTCTTAATCTCAATGGTGGCTGTTACTCTCCTATGGCCCCTGGAATTGGAATGGTACGAAAGCTTCCTGATACATGTGTGGAGTTGAAGTAAGCTACCAAGTCTTGAAGTTCATCAGGGCACTCAGACTGCAAAACACTCATCCCATCTTTGACATCTTCACAAGGCAGAAATGCTGAAGCATCTTAATATCTTTTTGTATAGCCATCATTTTGTGTAGCTGTGAAAGGCATAATTCTTGGATCTTCCTCAATGTGTTCAGGAGTGAGATGGTAGAAACAACCTTGAATGTGGACATGCTCCCCAAAGATAGATCTGACTGCCTTGATCACAGCAAGCTCTAAGTCAAGATTAGCGTGCAATCCCAGCTGTTTACATTAACTATATTGTCAGCAATGATCTGGTAGCTTAAGCATGATCTTTTATGGTAGTTTTGAGTTTGCTGCTTGCACTTTGTTTTCAAGGAAGTTTGAACCAAAAAATAACATTTACTTTTAATATGTGTTTTCTCAAGTATGTGACATTCAAACATTTGTCTGCAGCATCAAATGTTATACTGATGATAAGTGGGGTGGTGGGATGTGACAGTCATTATGCCAGTAGTTGACATGAATCTTGGGTTGCACTATGTTTCAACCCACAATTTTTCGATTGTCTTATTCCTTGCCTCTTGAATGGTTTGCTTCACAATGGCATACAGTTCACAGTGGAGATCCTCTATACTCCTGTCAGCATCAATCCTCTGAAACACCAAACAACATTAAAAGTTTACATGTGTCATGGTCTAATCAGTGGTAAATCTATATGGCATGATTGTCTGCCAGTCCCATCAGTGGTTACTCTATAGGACATGACCGTCTGCCAGTCCCATCAGTGGTTACTCTATAGGACATGGCCGTCTGCCAGTCCCATCAGTGGTTGCTCATAGGACATGACCGTCTGCCAGTCCCATCAGTGGTTACTCTATAGGACATGGCCATCTGCCAGTCCCATCAGTGGTTACTCTATACGACATGACTGTCTGCCAGTCCCATCAGTGGTTGCTCATAGGACATGACCGTCTGCCAGTCCCATCAGTGGTTACTCTATAGGACATGACCGTCTGCCAGTCCCATCAGTGGCTACTCTATACGACATGACCGTCTGCCAGTCCCATCAGTGGTTACTCTATAGGACATGGCGCCGTCTGCAAGTCCCATCAGTGGCTACTCTATCTGACGACATGACTGTCTGCCAGTCCCATCGGTGGTTACTCTATAGGACATGGCCATCTGCGAGTCCCATCAGTGGCTACTCTATAGGACATGGCCGTCTGCCAGTCCCATCAGTGGCTACTCTATAGGACATGGCCGTCTGCCAGTCCCATCAGTGGCTACTCTAAAGGACATGGCCGTCTGCCAGTCCAATCAGTGGCTACTCTATAGGACATGGCCGTCTGCCAGTCCCATCAGTGGTTGCTCATAGGACATGACTGTCTACCAGTCCCATCAGTGGTTGCTCATAGGACATGACTGTCTGCCAAGACTCATCAGTGGTACATTATACACATTACGACTGGAAGTACATCTGACCAATCATTAGACACTTACCTGCCAATTTTCATCTTGCAACTTTTCAAAGTTTTCAGCAACCCTTTTCTGAAAGTCCTTCTGCTCATATCTTTCCCCTCCAAATCCAGCTCGCTTCCCAGCAGCTTCAGGGGTTAAGGTCAAATACAACACTTTGTCTGGGCAGGGGAGTCCAACATCTGGCTGCTTGCACCAGTCCAAGGAAAACCCCTGACAAGAACAAAACACCACGAGAACATCTCTGTAGTGGACACTGGATGAGTACAACATGTACCATAACATCCTGCAGGAGTTTGCTCCTGTTAATGACATTACTGACAGGCAATGAATTAACAGTCTAAAAGTTAATCTGAAAGCAAGCAGAATTACATTTAATTTCTTTGTTCATTTCATGAGCATAATCAATGAATACCTTTTTGGACGCTGTGAATGCCACACCAGAAAATGCATATCTGTCAACTATCAAGGTTGTGCCTTCACTCAATAACTGGTAGATGTCTTTTCTGAAAAATGAAGCCTCCGCATCATTAGCCCACTTTAACATTCAGTTGCAACAGAGGAGCTTTATCCACTCCAACTTGATTGTCACCATTTACCCTACAAATCAAGTGGAATGGGGAATGTCCATGTGTGCACTCATTCACGTGTGAAACACATCTGGGCTAACAAAACCAACACTTTTCACTTTCACAATGAGGTAGATACCAGAAATTTGACCTCTCCCTTTCCATTATGACCAATCAACTTCAACTTGTGAATCTCTAAATTTCTCTGTGAAATGACTTGTGTAAACAGCATGTTCACCCATTTCGCAACTTTTGTTGCCATCATAATCATATCACTGACACTTGAATTCAAGGAATGTTGAGTGAGTGAGTGAGTTTAGTTTTATGCTGCACTCAGCAATTTTCCAGCTATATGGTGGCGGTCTGTAAATAATCGAGTCTGGACCAGACAAGCCAGTGATCAACAGCATGAGCATCGATCTACGCAAATGGGGACTGATGACATGTGTCAACCAAGTCAGCGAGCCTGACCACCTGATCCAGTTAGTCGCCTCTTACGACAAGCATGGGTTACTGAAGATTAATATTCTTTCTAACCCAAATCTTCACGGGTCTCAAGGAAGGTTGAACCCTTCCTACAAACATTATCAGTTGGCTCAAAACATTTAGCATTAGTTTGGAACAGAATAATTAGTGGTTGTTCAATACCCCAGCGACCCTGACTACACGCCCCCTTTGGAGCTAAAAGCCCAAACACACTGAAACAAGTATAGTAGGGACTGACACTTTCCCAACTGAAACATGTCTGGTGGGGACTTATACACGCTCCCGTCTGAAACATGTCTGGTGGGGACTTACACACGCTCCCATCTGAAACATGTCTGGTGGGGACTTACACTCCCATCTGAAACATGTCTGGTGGGGACTTACACACACTCCCATCTGAAACATGTCTGGTGGGGACTTACACACTCCCATCTGAAACATGTCTGGTGGGGACTTACACACTCCCATCTGAAACATGTCTGGTGGGGACTTACACAGCTCCCATCTGAAACATGTCTGGTGGGGACTTACACACACTCCCATCTGAAACATGTCTGGTGGGGACTTACACACTCCCATCTGAAACATGTCTGGTGGGGACTTACACTCCATCTGAAACATGTCTGGTGGGGACTTAGCATTAGTTTGGAACAGAATAATTAGTGGTTGTTCAATACCCCAGCGACCCTGACTACACGCCCCCTTTGGAGCTAGAAGCCCAAACACACTGAAACAAGTATAGTAGGGACTGACACTTTCCCAACTGAAACATGTCTGGTGGGGACTTACACACGCTCCCGTCTGAAACATGTCTGGTGGGGACTTACACACTCTCCCATCTGAAACATGTCTGGTGGGGACTTACACACGCTCCCATCTGAAACATGTCTGGTGGGGACTGACACACACTCCCATCTGAAACATGTCTGGTGGGGACTTACACACGCTCCCATCTGAAACATGTCTGGTGAGGACTTACACACAGCCACTCCCATCTGAAACATGTCTGGTGGGGACTTACACACACTCCCGTCTGAAACATGTCTGGTGTGGGGACTTACACACTCCCATCTGAAACATGTCTGGTGGGGACTTACACACACTCCCATCTGAAACATGTCTGGTGGGGACTTACACACAGCTCCCATCTGAAACATGTCTGGTGAGGACTTACACACACTCCCGTCTGAAACATGTCTGGTGAGGGACTTACACACACGCTCCCATCTGAAACATGTCAGGTGGGGACTTACAGCTCCCATCTGAAACATGTCTGGTGGGGACTTACACACTCTCCCATCTGAAACATGTCTGGTGGGGACTTACACACACTCCCATCTGAAACATGTCTGGTGGGGACTTACACACGCTCCCATCTGAAACATGTCTGGTGGGGACTTACACACGCTCCCATCTGAAACATGTCTGGTGGGGACTTACACACGCTCCCATCTGAAACATGTCTGGTGGGGACTTACACACTCTCCCATCTGAAACATGTCTGGTGAGGACTTACACACGCTCCCATCTGAAACATGTCTGGTGGGGACTTACACACACTCCCATCTGAAACATGTCTGGTGGGGACTTACACACTCTCCATCTGAAACATGTCTGGTGAGGACTTACACACGCTCCCATCTGAAACATGTCAGGTGAGGACTTACACACTCTCCCATCTGAAACATGTCTGGTGAGGACTTACACACTCTCCCATCTGAAACATTTCTGGTGAGGACTTACACACACTCCCATCTGAAACATGTCTGGTGAGGACTTACTCACACTCCCATCTGAAACATGTCTGGTGGGGACTGACACACGCTCCCATCTGAAACATGTCTGGTGAGGGCTTACACTCTCTCCCATCTGAAACATGTCTGGTGGGGACTTACACACGCTCCCATCTGAAACATGTCTGGTGAGGACTTACACACACTCCCATCTCAAACATGTCTGGTGAGGACTTACACACACTACCATCTGAGGGACTTGGGGACTTTGCAGCTCCCATCTGAAACATGTCTGGTGGGGACTTACACACGCTCCCATCTGAAACATGTCTGGTGAGGACTTACACACACTCCCATCTGAAACATGTCTGGTGAGGACTTACACACACTACCATCTGAAACATGTCTGGTGGGGACTTACACACACTACCATCTGAAACATGTCTGGTGGGGACTTACACACACTACCATCTGAAACATGTCTGGTGGGGACTTACACACACTACCATCTGAAACATGTCTGGTGGGGACTTACACACACTACCATCTGAAACATGTCTGGTGGGGACTTACACACGCTCCCATCTGTTAGCTGAGAAGAGCAGATGTACAGCATGGTCATCTAACTCCGCCTTCTTCTGTAGGTATTCATTAATCATCTGACCAATGACAGTTGTCCTGTCTGAAACATAGACAAGGATGTCTGTACAAGTGGGCTTGGACATAGATCTGTGAACTTCATCATCAGCATCAGCCTCATCAGTCAGCTGAAGAAGATACACCACTGCTACAACAGCACTGCAAATAGATCAGAGCATTATCCTCTCCTCAAACTCACTCACTTAATCCACAACAATGCAAGTAATCTCTCATAACATACTACAGTGAGGGGTGGAAATAACTTTAAAATTGCTAGTGTACTCCGGTACAGTGGCACATGTAAAATCACTTGCCCTGATAATTTTTCTACTATACCGTCCGTTTTCTTGTTGATTTTTTAAATACACAACATAATTAACATTGGACAACTGGACACCGGTACAGTGTGTGTACAAATTTGCAAGCCCGACAGAAATATAACACTGAACTCAGACGTCGGGCAATGGGTTATTTCTACCCTTGTACAGTGTACATTCTCGTGATTTAAGAATTACAATACTTTGTCTATTTATTCTCAAAAACATTTTCAAAATGTTTATGTGCAACGCTTTCACTTGCATTGCCATTGGTTAATATCACACTTGCATATGTTAACATAAGTTTAGCACCAAAAACTGAATTCATAACATGAGGTCTTTATCATTGCCATACGTTTAGTACTTTTCAGCTGTTAAAGTACAGTACTTGATGGTGCAAGTATGTCTGGTAAACGTACATTCTGATAATGACCAGTAGTGATCTCATATGGTCAACAGTTATCTGGAGCACTGCATGATGTGACTGGAAGAGAGGTTGCTGCCAGGTTTTATAACATAGATAAAGTTAGCTGTACCCTTTCTCAGGTTTGGGAGATAATTTTTTTTGAAAAGACAAAATGTAACTTATGTAAGTTGTACTTGTTGGATTGTGGTCAGGAAGGCTGAAGACACTATCCTTCTGTGTTCCGAACGCGTGATCATACCACAGGAAACATCGGAACACGCTGAAGCGTGAACCTCTGCTATGCCGATCTGCCGACTTGTGTGCCATGTTTATCTATCTTGTAATTCTCAGCATCTACATATACAGCTCCTGCTAGTCCCTTTAATGCAACACAAATAGCAACACTGCCTACACTGTTGAATGCGCAAAATGTTGCCTTTGATCCTGAACAATGTGAATAATCAAACTCCAACTGACAAACTGTAACTAGCTTTAAGTGACTGTCATACTTATTGAGTATCATTCATAAATTTAATACACCAGCTGTACTGCACACAATGACTGACTGACTGAGTTTAGTTTTACGCCACTTTTAGCAATATTCCAGCAATATCACGGCGGGGGACACCAGAAATGGGCTTAACACATTGTGCCCATGTGGGGAATCGAACCCGGGTCTTCGGCGTGACGAGCCAACGCTTTAACCACTAGGCTACCCCACCCCTGCACACAATGAATGCCTGTCAGGGAATCAAACACAGCTTATATACTTTCAAAAACCAATATATATCATCGGAAGAAAGATTTATAATTTCTGCCAAACACCCGACATTGCCTGCGGACCATGACATGTTGTCAAATGGTTGTCTTCACCCTGACAACACACTGCCAACACGTTCTGCTGACTGTCATGTTCCCACTCAATCCTACCTTTTTCTTATCCATTACCATAACTCACAGACTGTTTGTATTTCTGTAATTTGGAGAGCATACAATATAAGCAAGATACACTCAAGTGCCATATTAAAGTTCACAAAATGGCCGCCATGTAAGTTTCACTAACTGTGATGAGATGTAAATAAAGTTTGATTTCAAAATAATGCCTGAAGCCACTTACCTGATATTTTCAGTATTTAGTAATACAGCCATTTACTGCAAGTACAGCCCTCATTCGCTTAGGTAGAGTAGAATACAGTGATTTTATGTACTCTGGAGTAAGTGATGTCCAGATACCTTGAACGTGATCTATCAGATCCTGCTTGGTTTTTATTTCATGTAACTGTCTTTGTAGCCTGATTTTCAGAGTTCTCCATACATTTTCAATGATATTACAGTCTGGGGACTGAGGAGGCCAATTCATTGTCTGAATGTCATTGTCACGTTTCCACTGAATTGTTTGTCTAGAAACATGGACAGGACAATTGTCCTCTTGAAATACATAGCACCGATATGCTGGAACTTTGGCTATAACTGGCCAAAGGTTGCTGTCCAGTATATCAACATACTTTGTAGAGATGATATGGCCATCTACATCGACAAGGGTTCCAACGCCTTCAAAACAAATACACCCCCAGAACATCACACTGAGACGTGGATCATTTTTATCCCTATACACACCAAGGCACCGGGGTTTCCACTTTTCTTCATTAGTCCTCCAAACATAAACTTTCTGATCTTTTCCTACAACAACTTGAGTCTCAGCTGAAAATATTACCCTAGACCAATCTCTATTTACATTCCATCTCAAATGTGTTCTGGCAAAGGCTCAGCCGCTCTTCTCTTCAACCTGTTTTGAGAGGATATGGTGGTTTTCTTCTTCACAACTCTTCTATGAAAACCATTTTCATGAAGACGCCTTTGTATTGTCCTCTTGGATAGTCTTACTTGAGATGTCTGGTACCAAAGTGAAGATATATCCTGAAGAGACTTTCTCCTATTACACTTAACAATCTTCAATAAAGCCCTAGTATCTCTGTCAGTTGATTTTCTTCTCCTGCCACTTGTCTGATAATTTTCTGTATTTCCTCCTTGAGAAAACCTCTTCAGAAACTTACAGACAGTAACCCTATTAATTCCAGTTATTTTGCCTTTTTCACTTCCACTCTTGCCTTCTGAATTCAAACTTAATATGAGCTTTTTCTGATAGGCAGTAAGATCTTTTCCTCTAGGTGCCATGACACTTTGAGCAGACGTCATACCAAGCACTTGAGAGTTATTCCCCTTTTGTTTACAAAATGGAACAGGTGTTAAGTCAAATGTGTACCCCCGAAACTGTCATACCCTATAACTATTGCTAAGATGAAATAAACTTTCATTTAAAAGAACCAGCTACTGTTGGCAAGAATCACAGCGCCTTTTGTGAACTTTAATATGGCACATGAGTGTATGTCAGATTTGTTTAAGGAATGAATAGACTTATTCCCTAGTTCCACTTCTAAATTTAAACTCCCTTAGCTTGCAAAATTTCAGGATCAATTGTTTAGTATGTTACTGACCACAAAACTGGCTTTACTCTGCTCATGTCTCCACCCACCCCATCCACATACCCACCAAAAAGAATACACTCACTTCTGGAGAACACAGACCAGCCACACACGACAACAGGTACATACACTAGGCTTGAAGAAGTGTCTACTGAACATAACTGGTAGTCTGTCTCAGTCCCTGAACCACATTATTTTCCCTACTGTCAAGCCCTTCCTGCAATGCTAAAGCCCTAAATGAAGCAAGTCCAGATAAACGAAGTGTTAGTCTACATAGCTATCTTCACAGCTACACCCACATTTAACATACTTTCCTAGGGATTATAATCATTAGATAACAGGTTTCATTACCCTCAGGGAATCTCAGCAGCAAACTAACCAAGAGCATTATTACAATACAAAATGATATAGAATCTTTATCACTAAGTAGTTGATAAAATCCTATACAATAGTTCATGGGTATGTAATACATTCTTTAAATGGTAATGCTGGTGGATTTTAGTACATGATTACAGAAATCGGTTTCAAGACTCATAGTACCTATTCTCAGTAAAGGGAAAGAGCACTCAACTCAGAGTCGTCCAGCTAACTACATTTTATTAATAAAGTTCAGTAAAGTTCCCCCTGCCTCTAAGGGTGTCAAGGGTATATAGCAACCAGTGGCTGGCACTTGACATATACCTGTAGTGAATCTATTACGTCATGTGATATGCATGTAACGGAACAACAAGAGAGGAATAGCCAGTTGAGGTGCAAAACACATTCATCAAAGGATTAACCAATAAAGTGCTGATTGATTAATCACTGTTATCTTGCACAGTGGCTTTGACAAAAGTGGCTATATATGTAGGATTACTAGAGAAGACAGAGCACACCAACATCCATGGTGATTCTGTAAAAACAATAAACTTTGTAACATTATGTTATCTCACTAAAGCCATCAACATACATGTCACATGTACTATCTCAGCTGACCAGTGAGAAATAACTCTGCAGTGAAATACCTTAAAAAAACTTACATGATCAGTTGAGTAAGTAGGTTAGGTGAGGTAAAAATTGGGTTTAACGTCGTACTTGAGAATATTTCGCTCATATGACGAAGCGCATGCGTGTGTATGTGTATGTGCGGCTGCTTGTACTAGCCCAGACTGAAGCTGGTTTTATAGTGCTACCCCACTGAGATACCATGCCGCAGTGAAGCATGAATACCCCACTCAGACACATTATACTGACTCCGAGCCGACCAGTCCTTGTTGTACCCATTAATGCCGAGCGCCAGGCAGGGACCAACAAGTACCATATTTTAACTTCTTTTGGTATGACGCGGTCGGGGATCGAACCCGCGACCATCCGCTCTCCAGGCGGATGCTCTAAGTTGAGTAAGTAAGCGAGTAAGGAGTAGCAACATCTCTGTATTATCACAGCAATATCTGGGCCACCAGAAATAAGGAGTTTCCCACATTGTACCCATGTGACAAGGAACAAGCTGAAGATATATGGGATAATGTGTGGATATCAAGGTAACTGTCTCATACTGTACACATAACCTATTTTGGATATATTTAGGATATCTGTGTTTTGTTTTCATTCACTTGCATTTGCTGTAACAACGTGGGAGGCATCAGTAGTGACTGTTCCACTCGTAACAAATTCTGGCAAAAACAGTTAGTTGTTCCAAAGTGCTATTATTATCTTTCTAACATACAGCAAACCAGAAACTAAAATAACTTATATAGTCATACTACTGGAACATATAATTTCTGATAAAGTAACAGTTTCATTGCATCAAAATTCGATTATATTTAGAGTATTTTATCAATCAAAACAGTGGTAGATT